AGAAAAACACAAATATTCAACTAATTATCAGAGCTAATGAAGACATGTCAGTATGATGTATTATATGAAGATTATGATACTATGTGGAAAAGTATGTAAAACAAATGAAAAACATGGAACTCTACACATTCAATTTAATGGTCATGACACAAAATAAATAAGTAGATATGAGCTTTTGTATTGACACTCAGAAAGAACCATGCAGAAAATTTAAAATTAATATTTTAATATTAAAATATCAAATTACTTTTGTATAATTATATTCAAATGTACCATTCCCTAGGAAAAAGAGTTATGGGCATTCTTTATTTCTCCTTTGTACATTAGAGTACTTAGCTTTTATTGCTTGTATTGTGTTTTCAGTGAGCCTTACTAATTTTATAAGTAATAAAATAAGGCTATAAAACAAAGACTTCCATATATCCACTAATAACTGTAAGATAAACTATGTAAGATAATAAACTATATTCTAAAATAAATTATGCAAAGGAATAAACTATATATCTTTATTGTATTCACTTAACTACAGACTGCTTAATCTGGCAAAAACTAACATTCCTGGAAATGTTGGCCAGCTAGATTGAGAGCAGGAGGAGAGAGCCACCTCCAAGAGTCACAAAGGTTTCATGAGACGCCACATGTGATGTGCAGGTCAGGACCTGGTCACAGCAGGGGCTCAGAAATGCTAACTCAGCAGCACATGTTAAGAACTCATGACCAGGTCAAGGTTCCCTGTCCTGACTCCACCCCTCACCAGAACTCTTTGAATACTCCGTGAAGCCCCGACCCTTTTTTACTGTCAAGCTGTTCTACACATGTTAGAGACAAAGAAAACCCAGAACACCACAACGAACACAAAGACCTTCAAGTAAGAGGGGAAGGTCAGGGCTGCCTGTCATGCCCTTAATAACAAAGGTGACTTCATTGGGCTGGGTGGATGGCTCCCTATTTCTGTGCCCATCCCTCTAAAAGCTAATTGTTCTCTTCTATAGTTCTTGCCAAGCCCAGAGTTATGCTAAAGTCATTCCTAAATAGCTGCGCTGTTCTGCTAAAAAGTCTCAATAAGCTTTCAAAGTCTAATTGTCAGAGGACATGGAATAGCTGAGTGAATTCAATGACAATAAAATTAGATTTTGAAGGAATAAACTCTTCCACTTCCTGGTATCTGCCAAGGATCACTCCCGCTCAACACCCCTCACCATCAGCATCATCAGTATCAACAGGAACAAAGCAGATTGTCTTTTGTACCCACAAGGGAACAATTAGGAAACAGCTGTGAACTTTATCCAGCATGTCCTTATTGTTTTAGAATCCTTTTACATTAACAGGAAGTCATTTTCTTTGGTTATTTAGATATCAATGTACTTTGAAATTATCCACCCTGCTCAACTGGACTTGGTTTTGTTTTTTAAAGTCTCAACACATTTATCCTTAATTATTGGTCATATAGAACAAAATGGGAATAACATCATTTTATCTATTTAAAGTTTAGTTGGAGACACCTGTTTTATCTATGTATGTGTGTATTTACTTGTTTATTTAGAGTTGGTGTCTCACTCTGTCATCCAGGCTGGAGGGTAGTGGCATGCTCATGGCTACCACAGCCCTGTCCTGCTGGACTCAGGCACTCCTTCTGCCTCAGCCTTTCAAATAGCTGGAACTACAGACATGTGCCAACAGAGTTGGCTAATTTTTCTGATTTTATTGTAGAGATGAGGTAGCACCAAGTTGCCCAGGCTGGTCTCAAAACCCTGGGCTGAGGCAATTCTCTCACCTCTGCCTCCAAAAGTGCTGGGATGACAGGTGAGAGCCTCCACATCTGGATCCTGTTTTGTACTGAGAATCAACTCCCAATAAACTCATACATCTAAGCACAACATTTCAATATGATAATAATTAGAGTCTGGTACAGCATAATATATTTACAATCCGATTTTCCTCTGAAACTTTGATATTTATGTTTTAATTTATAAACAAGCTGTAACCATTTCACTTCATACAAGTAATCACTTCATACAAGTAAATCCAAAGCCAAATGTAAATACCCTGTTTCAACTATGAAACTAGAAACAAGCCTCTTTGGGAATACTGAAGAAAAGTTATGTCTTTCCATTAGAATGTGATTAAATTAAACAGGACACGGAAGGTCCCTGGAACATCACACTTCTCTGTGCATCTGAGAGATTCTGAAGTCAACAGGTAACAGAAGATTGTTAATGTTTTGGCCAGAGTCTTTCTGCTAGGAATACCTGAAGTTAATAAGGGCTACATGTTTCTGATTTTTTTTTTTTTTTTGGCAATGTGCCACATCTGTTAAGTTTTTGTCAGGAAAAAATAATAATAACTAGAGCTGTGGGGACCTTCTGAAATTACACTGAAGATAAACCATAATCCTCTCAAATTTATATACCCAAGATGCAGTATACTTGACACATTTTTGTAATATTTAGAAATATAATACTTTTGGGGGAAAGAGATAAAACATAACACACTTATAGAAACTGCTGTGAAGAACGAAATTTGCAATATGGCACAGTGATACTAATTTAACTTTCTAAGAAAATAGTGTTTTGTATAAATGGAATTTAATCTATAAAACTAAAAATCCTACATATTTATGTTAGAAGTATGGTTAAAAATCTGAAAATTTTAGTCATTTTAGTTGAAGTGCTATGAAATTGTTAAGAACGCATTCTTTAAAAAAAAGTCCAAATTTAGAAAAAGTTGGCAGACTTTATCCTTTAATGGAAAATATATAGGTGTGTTTGTCATGTGATTTTCTTTCTTTTTTTTTTTTTGAGTTGGAGTCTTACTCTGTCGCCCAGACTGGAGTGCAGTGGCCGCTCCCGGCCACCGCAGCCTCGACCTGCTGGGCTCCGCGATCCTTCCGCCTCAACCTTCCAAGTAAGCTGGAATTACAGGTATGCGCTACCACGCCCGGCTGAATTTTTGATTTATTGTAGAGATGAGGTCTCGCTGCCCAGGTGGGTCTCGAACCCGTGGGCTCAGGCAATCCACTCACCTCAGCCTCCCAAAGGCGTGGGATTACAGGCTGAGCCACCGAGTCTGGCTTGTCATGTGATTTTCATACCCTAATTTACTAATTTACCCATGTCTTATAATCATAATCATGTATAGTATATTGCATGTTCTAATTTCCAAGATATTTTCTTATAAATTATCTCAGTTAATTTTCATAATAATCCTGTAATGTAAGTGTAGACAGGTTCTACTATAAAGGAGTGGTAGAGAAGTGGGAATAAAGCTGTAATGTTGATAAATGTGCTTTACTAAATAGAAATATTTTAAATCTTTCAAAATCTGAGATTTATGCAAAATTCCTCTTAGATACTTGAATTTACTTAAGATTGCTAATAAAGAATAAGAAATTAAGAAGACAGATGTGATTTTCCCCAACACATACATCACAAATCTGCTTACTAATCCCTGGCCCACCAGCATGAAAGCCCTAGGTCCACTCGCACATCTGCCTTGGTTGCTGCAACCGCCCCCTAGCCAGTCTCATCATGCCCAGGGTTGCTCCACTCTGACCCACATACAGCCAGAGTGACTGTTCCAAAAGGCAAGTTCGATTCTGTTACTTCCCTGCTGAAAACTCCTCAGTGGTTACCATGACTCGAAGGGTGAAAGACCAAAGACTAAATGCACAAGGCGTTCTTCAGCGTAATCCTTCAACTCACCCTGCCTCCAGTCCTGCCTCTAGAAGGAATATGAGCATGTTCTCTGTCCCTTCCAGGCTTTGGTACATGTGTCTTCTCTGCCTCAACCTCTGATTCATCTATATCTGATGACCTGTAGTCATCACTCACGGTTCAACAAACACATTCTCCAAGGAGCCTTCTTCAGTTCTTCTGAATTAGGTTAGACACCCCACAATGTCTCTCTGTCCTGGGACTTACACCTTTTTATGATTTTTCTTTATGTGTATTTAATATTTTTTTTATTTTAAAGACGTGGGGTACAAGTGAGGATTGGGTACATAAGTGGTTTACATACAGGTGAAGTTTGATTTCTTGTATCGATTTCATAAATTTATTAATTCAGCCAGAGATAAGGTTAAAGACATATGTTTAAAATATAATTTCTAGGAAAAGTATATTTAGGATAGACTGGGTAGAGAAAAGTGACAGTATTATAAAATTCAGTTTAAAAATAGCTTCTTTGGCCAGGCTCGGTGGCTCAGCCTGTAATTCCAGCACTTTGGGAGGCTGAGGCGAGAGGACTGCCTGAGCCTGTGGGTTTAAGACCCACCTGGGCAACTTGAAGAGACCTACAATAAATCAAAAAATTATTTGGCATGGTAGCGCACGCCTGTAGTTCTAGCTACTTGGAAGGCTGAGGCAGAAGGATCACCGGAGCACAGCAGATTGACGCTGCGGTAGCTGGGAGTGTGTCATGGCACTCCAGTCTGGGCAACAGAGTGAGACTCCAACTCAAAAAAAGAAAAAAGTAGCTCCTTTGAGGAACAATTACTTTAAAAAAAAAAATTAAAATCAATCACTTGAAAAGCAAAATGATGACAAGTCTCTTTCCTGAACTTAAGAAAAATTATTGTTACTCTTTTGGTAATAGACTAAGCATACTCCTTTGTTGAAGATTTTTAAATACAGAAGGTGAGGAGAGCAGGGACACAGGGCACAGACCCCGAATTGATTTTCTGCTCATTCAAACCTCAGCTCCTTCTCTTCCTTTGCAAACCCTTTATCACATAGAAAAGAGAGAGAAAAAAGGAGGGGATAGAAGAATCATCAGGAAGCATCACCAGTGGCTTCTGAAGAATTCAAATCCTCCCAGAACAACACACTGAGGGGAAAGCTAACAGGACAAAATGGTGGCAGCAATTCCATGGGCACCGAGCCACCAAGGAGGCTTCCAGATGCAACAGTAGGTTCTTCACAATAGACTCTTGGAACACAGGACAGATAGAAAGTAAAAGACCATGACTTTCTACAGAAGGAGTGTCAAGTTCCACTCATTACCTGTTCATAATAGTAGATGTTCTCCTCAGCCATGTCCATGAATGCTGACTTGAGATCATTTTGCATACTCTGAATCCATCTTTCCCAGTCGGCCTTCAGTGCATTATTGGCACATTCCACTTTATCTTCCAGCTTCCCAATCTCTTCCGTAAGCTGAATTAGATCACAAAGAAAGACAAAATGATCTATGTATTCTTGCCATTAGGTGATTTCATCAAACTTGAACATTATATCAAAACAGCCTAAGAATAACTCTTTTTTCAAAAAGTCAGCAATATTTACTGTGTTTACTAAAGTAAAAAGAACACTGGACTTAGCTGTTGGGAGTGTCCTATGATTGGCCACCGATGAGAACTTGACCTAGGCTAAGTCTCTCGAATTCTGGCTTCAGTTCTACTACTTATAAGATACCAGAAGTTGAACAGGAAATCAACTCTAAAGTATTTTGTACTAGCACTTTCACCACCATCATTTCTACTGATAACACTTATGCTTAAGGTACGGTTTCATTCACTTCAGCTTCCCAGTTCTGGTCCTCATTTTCTAATCCCTTTTAGCAAAAACCTCAATTAACTGAGATGTTATAACATCCACACAGACTATGTAAAGGGGATTCACTTGCCAAATTTCACTCAGAGAGCTTGTAACAAAGGCATGTTTATACCTCCAGATGCCTGACTCCCATCCATGTGCTATCAGACAGGCTTATGCAACACTTAATTTGTCCCCACCTTACCTGCCAGCCTCTAGGCATGCAACTCACTAATTTATTCATTTGTATCTGGCATATTTATACTATGTATTTATCTATGCATAATTATTCATGCATTCAGCCCATATTTATTAAGTGCCTTGTCTGTATCAGGCATTCTTCTAGGACCTGAAGATTCAGGAATGAAGAAAACAGACAAAAATCCATGCTTTTACCAGACCTTATACTCTGCTGGAAAGAGACAACCAACAAGCAAGATAAATATGATTCCTCTCTAATTCAAGAAGTAGTAGTGTCTTGCAAGTTATGGAATAATAAAACCCTAAGCAAAATACGCAAATAGACATTTTCCCCTGACTCTGAAGGTACCTTAGAATATACTTCCTAGTACCTAAAAAATCCTGTCTAGCAATGTAAGAAGTATAAAAGCAAAGACTACCAGCCCTTTAGTTTTTATGTATTAGAAATCCATTTGTAGAAAATATATTAGTTCATCCAACAACTATTTCTTGAGCACTCACTTGCTGCCAAGTATCAAACTAGGCACGGTGCCCCTGTGTGAAACATTTTTTTCCCTCTCATTCGTTTTTGAAACACTTCTTTCATAGAGGCAAATCTTTACTTAACATCAAGGAATCCTCCCAATTCTAACAGTTTCACAATGTGACCACTATGAAATGCTTTAGTGTGTGCTTCCCAAATTGAGATTCCTATATGAATATCAACACTCAGTGAAAGCCTATGGATCACCAGAGTCATGAATAAACATGGCATAATCTTTCATAGATATTTTACAGAGATCAGAGAAAATTATTTTTAAGTTAACATGAATATGAATATATCATGCAGGAGGGATACTCACACAACATTTTAAAATAGGAGAACTTAAGAAAGCATTGAACTTGTAGTGGCCTTTGAGTGATCTCTCTCAGATTTACTAGGGTATACATTCCAACTTTCCTATACTATAGAAGTAAATTCTTTTGGTAAAATATTTGAACTACATGCCAGATCAAAACGTGTTGGAAGCAAATCTCCTCGGCAACTTAACTATACACTTAACAGATAACCAACATACTTAGGCATGATGATTCTAGAGATGTTAATTGCTGTGACTACCAACAGTTTTGTAGAAGTATCAATTATAAAATTATAGATTGAGATATCAGCTTCCCTGCAGTCTGTTGCTTCAGGAGTAGTTGCCAGAATGAGAGAAGAGAATATCCAGTCAACTTTTTCAATCATTGTGATTTATCTCTGCTCAAAAGCAATTTTGGGGGAATTTCACTTATCTCTCTAAGAAAGAACCATCCCCATGTTGACTATTTAATCATGGATCCTTTGTGGTTTATCCCTGACATTATAATCTAGAACTAGTGGCAGTAAGCATCTCTTACCCTTACCCTGTTACTGTTTCTATTTACAAGAACAAAAGTAAAGTCATACAGGCAGCACAAAAATTTAGAGTCTCTCCAATACAATGACTGAGCCCCTAATGGCCGAACAGTTTATGAGGTCTGCTCCTGGTGCATTATTGGAAGAGTTATTTCTGCATTAACAAATGATGGCAATCTCACACATTAATCTAGTGTGTAAAAATTTGTGAACCCCCCATAACTTTGAAACAAAGCTGACATTTCTGGCATAAGTAACTCTAATTACAAATCATTCTTATTCAGAAATGTAGATACAAAAGTCAGAAAGAGAACAGATCAAGTGAATGGCCAGGGAGGGTTTACCCCAGGGATCCGAGGATGATTAACAAGGGAAAAAAATCTATTAATATAAACCTTTATAATAAGAGAGTAATAGATAAACATCATACAATTATTTGAGTAGAAACAGAAAACCAGTAAAAAATTCAACACTCATTTAAGAATCAACTTCTCATCTAATAGAGTAGATAAGACCTGCTTTAACTTGATTAAAAATATACAGGAAAAAAATCATTACTAATGAAAAAAATCTTGGAAGCATTTACTTTAGAATCAATAATACAAAAAATGTTCCACGACTAAGAATATATGCTTTTTTTCTGCCAGATTACTAACAAAATGAAAAAAAGAAGTACAATTATTAGATAAATGGGACAAAATTATCAGCATTCAGTCATGATAGAATTTTCTATACAGAAAACTGAAATCTACAAATTATTAAAATTAAAGATAATTTAGAAGATCATTAAATATAGAATAAATACTCACAAAAGAACTACACTTCCATAATCCTAGCCAAAAAAAGTTAGACAACAAAATGTTTTAAAATATGAAATTTATGACAAATACAAACCAAAAAATTTATACTTAGGAATAAATTTAGGAAAAAATATAAAAATTTTTTGGATAAAAATTAAAACTTTATTGGGAGATATTAAAAGAGAGAGTTAGATGTCTATAAAACTATTCTATTTAAATTTTATAGCTAGTTTTCTTTAATTTCAGCTTAAGAAAAGTTCCTCAGATAATCCTGCCCAGAAAAGTATTTATGTTCAAAGTAGGGTTTGTAGTTTTGTCTTGTACTGTTCTCATCTCAGTCCACTGTTTCCCTACCATTTGTCAGAACTCGTAATTATTTCATAGACTTGTCTTCATTATAATTTCCAATTATTTCATGGATTTTCCTGTTGGAATGTAGGATCTGCCACGAGGGGCCATGTGTTTATCCATCATTTCACCACTATCCCCAGTACTTATACTATGTGGGAATTTGATAAATATCTGTAGATTAAATAATTTTAGAAAAGTGAAATAAATGTCAGTCATAAATCTAGGCTTATTTTTCTATTGGTCTCCCAAGGATTATTTCTTTATGCTTTTAAATACCACAAAAACTTAAAATCTGCCTGATATATGCCTAAAGTCATACAAAATTTTTGATTAAAGCAATATAATTTAAGGATGACAGTTATTCATCCCTAAAAATATCATTGTTTTTCTTTTAAAATGGTTTTTCCATTATTTCCTTTTATGGAAAAAAATCATACAATCCTTTTATTCAAATGCTAAAATTTCTCTCCATAATCAGAAAAGCTGAGAAATTATCATTTTGAAAAAGTTCTTGAAAATAATATACCTAAATAAAAAGATTTAGATTGCCACTCCATCAGAAGACAATAGCAAATTCAAAAATTCAATTCCAGTCTGACAGCTACCTCTTTTTAACAAGCATTAATTAAATTGCCAGGGAGAGATGAGAGGGCTCTTCACAATAAAATTGTATTATTTTCTGATTCGTGAGAGAGGTACGATGTGTCTGAGGAAATTAGATGCTTGATTATACAGTGCTGCTTAGGAATACATATGATTACTAAGTAGTACCTTTTTTATATTCTTTACAAGGCTCACTTTTCTTAAAAAGTGGAAACCTCTCTCCCTGAAACCCACTGGGGATTTTGTTATCCAAATGTAACTTGTTCAGTAAAACACAATACATTTTCTAAAAGTGACAAATTGAGTCATGAAACACCCACAAATGAAGTTGACGTGTCATCCACCAAGCCAGCACCCTCAATACCGTTAACACCCCCGAGTAGTAATTATGGTTTCTTATGACACTGCAGGTGGCAGAAAGGCAAGTATTGACACAGTTATACTTTGGGGAGGGCTGCGGTCTCGTCAGAAGTTTGTGCACAGCAAAGGCACAGTAAGTTCACATGGGATGAGGAGGGGTCATTTTCTTCCAAGGGCTTTCCTGAGTCCTACTAATATAAACCTTTTAAAGACATGATGTGGGTAATTTCCTGTATTTCTGAAAAACATTATCTAAGCCTAGGGAAACAATATGCTATATTACCATCAGGTTTTCTGAAGTCAAAAACTATTTGAAAGCCAAAATCAAAACTGACTTATTCCACAGAACTTCACAGGGCATACTGAGATTTAAATGAGATAATATGTGAGATATTGTTTAAGCAGTGAGCAAAATAAAAATATTCTACAACAGGAATTGTATGTCCTGTGCTTATTTCTACATGAATGTTTCATTCAAAACATGTAAAAAATCCCATCCATATGTGTGAGTTAAAATATGTATTACAAAGTTAATCTAGTTATTAAAACTCAAATTTATTGGACAGAAATCTTATTTTTGGAGAGGGATCTTCTTTGGGAAATGCTCAGGGCAGCCTCTGCTGTGCACGTCTACTTGGGATTAATGGAGTAAGGACCATACCTGCCGCCTCTCTTGCTATCCAACCCACGACCATGTGTCGTGCCCCCCCCCCGTCATCCCATGGCAGAGTGCCCATCCCACGTCCCTCACCATCCGACCGGGGTGCACATGCCCCTATTCTGCCCTCATGGTGGAGTGCCCATCCCTCATCTCTTGACCTCCAGCCCGCATGCACGCCCTGTCATCCCTCATGGCGGAGTGCCCATCACACGATCATCACCATCCGACCCATAAACACACACCCATCATTCCTCATGGCAGAGTGCCCATC